ACGCGGATGATTTTTTACCGGTTTTCTACCCCGACAGGGAACCATTTCTTCTTTGCTCAACTCGATTTGCTACGCATTTGGCCTGCAAATGTGTTGGCGAAAGAGAAAAAAAGAACGTTTGGTGCTGAAACTTTCACGCGTGTTTAAGTCGGCAATCTACCTTTGCTTCGTCGGCAAGTTTGTGAGAAAATCTACAAGAACTTGCGACGTTTCTTCGCTTGAAAGTATCCTCTCTTAATGGAAAAAAATATCCTATTTATGAGACATCGTTTCCTCCATTGTAAGAATGTAATTCTCTTCAACCTTTGTTTTGCATCACAGCTTCAGTTATATTTATATACTGGAGTGGTTCAATCGTTATCACATGTCATGGTTGAAATATTTACTTATTCGATTTCGCGATGCAAACGAGCTGATTGCAACGGCACTATAGTCGTTCGAACACAGCCCTGTGTTTGTCAAGTATCCGCGGGGAACGAGCGAGGCGTACGTAAATAGGAAACGGCATTTGGAATGATCGAACGCATTTGGAAGAATCCATAAAAATACTCGTGAAGCATGCAGGACGTCATGGGGTTCGCAGCCACCCTCGCAAACTGCCACCGTTCCTTCCCCATCGGTGTACAATCCCACCCCTTGCCAAATCAGAAATCTGCCGCTTCCATCTCGTCCCGGCAGCGATGGCTGATGGCTGCTCGCATCGTGGAAAAAGAACACACATCGGCACGGGCATTACCGTTTTTCTCCCGTTTCTCCCGTCGATCGATCGATCATTTCGCTGGCCAAGACGGCCACGATGACTAACAACAATGGCGAATCGGGAACGCAAGGACGGACGTAGAGAAAAACGAGAGGAGGCTTGGATGCCTCGCAATTTGCGTGGGACGACCGGTAAATGGGACATACCGATCGAGGCACGCTTCGTCTACGTAGGTTACACGCATATAGATGCAATCACCGATCAAAATTTCGACGAAATATAGACACAGATTTCCACGTTTCCAGTATCTCACCATGCCACGTGTCTGCCATTTGTAGACAAAAATTATAAATGCAGTAAAAGTGTGCTCGGTACTTGTACGTATGTACATCTTACGATTTTAAGGATTTAAACATGCGAAGTAGATCAAGGGAATGTAGATCGGGAGAACAGAGAATTAGCATCAGTTTGTCAGTAAGTAAACAATATATATATTTATCATTATCGTTATTACTAAGGCACTTGTTACCATTATAAAAATGTGTACGTCACAAATTATTGCCAATGAGCATATTTAAATACTGATATTAAACTAATTCCATCTCGTAGTATAATCTCAGATATTATGGATATGTCCGCCCAAAGGGGATTCTTGCTGACTTATTTTCATTTTTCTATTTTCTGTTATTCGACTGTTATTAACAA